AGTTCAACCCAACCAGCCCCACTATCCAGCCCACACATTTGCCAGCGGGTGCCATTCTCTGACTAGCCATGCCTGCCCAAGCCCTGTTTCTCTTGCTCTCCTGTCAGAGTGGCAACCCAAGTAGGAGGTGCCCACTGTTTTCCTACTAGACCCGCTCTCTCTCCTGTGTCATGCACTCTCCAGGTGGTTCTGCAGTTTAACTTGATAGTTTCTGCCCCCTGTGCCAGCATCTCCCAGCTGATGCTGTGGCAAAGTGCAACCAAGCAATACCCACCTATGCATGAACCAGTAGGAACAGTCCACCTAGCCTGGCTTTCTCCTGATCCAGCTCACATGAGGCCAACAGCGGTTGTAGCCCTGCCCGGCCTGGTCTGCTCCCATCCCAACTCATGCTCAGCAGTGGAAGTGGTGGTCCAGCAGGGGAGCCCCCATGTATCCTCTCTACCAGGTCGCCCCTCTGGGTTTCCCGTGTGCTGCTTGGGTGCTGAGACCCAGTCTGGCATGGCCTACCTCACCTCAGCATTTTCCAGTGGGTGCTGTGACCTGACTGGGCAAGGCCCACCTCTAATTGCAGCTCTCACTGGTGGGGATTATAGCCTAGCCTTCTGGCCCCTAGTCCTGGCCCTCATGTGAACTGGCTTGTGTTGTGGCCCAATATGGCCTGACATACACTCTGGGTCAGCGTGGTTCGCCCCCGACCTGTGCCAAATGTATGCTGGTGAGTACCACTACCCAGCCTGGTCTGGGCTCTCCTTATCCGCGAATCTTGTGCTCACCTGCAGGGACTGTGTCCAGACAAAGAAGTTCCCCAAGCTCCTCCATCAGAACCTCTTCCAGTGCCAGATCTCATGTCCATCAGTGGGTCCATGGGTCAGCCCTACTTAGTTCACCTTTAGCAAGAACAATGGCCTTTCCTGACCCATTCCAGCTTTTACAGTTGGGAATTACAGCTCAGCCAAGCCTGGTTCACACTCAGACACAGCTCACACATGGTTCAGCAGGGACAGAGATCTAGCCCAGCCTGTCCTACACCTACCCTGGTTCTAACGAGCACCAGTGGTTGCCGGAATGTAGTCCAGTCTAGCACATCCCAGACCCTGTAAACACTTCTGCGAAGGAATACTGTAGCCACGTCCAGAGCAGAGAGTAGCCCCCACTCTGGCCCTTGCACCCACCAGTGGGAACTACTACCCAGTCAGGGGTCCCCTTTGCTCTCCAACTAGGCCTGTTTCCAACCATAGATCTCGCACATGCCAGTGGTTATTCTGACCCAGCCTGGCATAGTCCCTCACTTGTCTTGACCTTTGCCTTTGGATGTTGCAGCCTGGCCTGGTCCAGCCAGCATCCAGTCCCAACTCTCACTGGAAGGTGCTGGTACCTAGCTCTGCTCAGTCTGTTCCCACCCCTGGCTCATGTAAACTGGTAGATGGGACAGCCTAGCTTGGCATGATCTGCAATCTAGCCTGTCTCTGCACTTTACAGTGAGTTAAATTTTGCTTGGCCTTGCCTAGTTCACCCCCTTCCAAAACCAACCCACATAACTGCCAACAGTGGAAGCTGCTTTTCCCAGCTTGCCCGATACCCAGGCCTGGACCACACGCTCACCAGAGGAAGCTATGACCCACTAGGGGAATTTCCCAAGTTCCCCCACTCAGTCCACTTCCAGACCCAGACCTCATGTATGCCAGCCGGTGCTAGGCTCTTGCCCATTATGGCCTGCCCCTCCATCTTGGCTTGGTGAATGCTACGGCCCGACCCACTCCATACCCTGTTTTAGGATGCACATGCAGGTGCTGCAGCCTGGACCTGCACAAACTATTCTTGGTCCCTGTGTCTGAATGTTGGTAGGTACCATGGTCACATCTCGCTTAGCCCATCACCATCCCAACTCTTGAGTTAACCACTGGGAATTGTATTTCTATAGGGTTTGGCCCACATATTCCCCAATAGACTCTATCCATGGACCTGGTTCTCTTGCGTGCTGGTTATATCATGGCCCTGTCTAATGTGACCCATCCCCTGTTCTGACATTCAGGGGCCCTGCTGGATAGTCCCCAGCCCTAGCTTTTACATGGAATAACGTGTGGTGGTCAGCAATGCTCCAAGCTAACAAGCCCAACTCAGGACTCCCAAGTGGGCTGGTGCATCAGTCTGACCCATGCAGATCTTTTCGTCTCACTCCTTCAAGCCACCAGGTCTCAGTCCCCTCATTTACCTGCACGTACAGTGGTCCTGTCATTGGAAGTCCTTCAGGATTCATTCCTCACCTACATGTACAGTGGCCTTATCCATGGGTGTCCCTAGCAGTGATTCCACACCTGCAAGACCCCAGAGCTCACCGCTGGGCAGCCAGCAAGCAAAGCCCATTGCCATTGGTGCTCTGATAGCCTGGTAGCCCAGGATTTGCCCACTGCTTGGCAATGGTGGCTGGGACTAGGGGCCAAACACTAGGCCTGCCCTGGCCCAGGTATCCCCAGTACCTGTCATGCTGAGAGAATTCTGTTCATCCAAGCCCCAAGGTCAAACTCACCCGGGTCCCTCCCACCAAGATGGTGGTGGTGAGTGGAGCCAGGGACCCAAACTGCCAGAGATCTCTTCACAGTGTAAATACTGTGGAGGGAGAATTCTCTTGGGCCTAGGAGCCCAGGGTTCGCCTGCTGTTTGGCAGTGGTGGCTGGGGCTAGAGCCCCAAGCATTGAGCCCAACCTGGCCCAGGTCCTCCCGGCAGCTGCCATGTTGCTGGGAGGTCTGTACACTCAAGCCCCGAGGTTAAACTCACCTGGGTGTTCTACCTGTGATGCAGCAGATGGTGCAAACACTTGGGACCCTATCACTCACGTGAGATGCTGTGATGGAATTCAATGTTCCTGGATCAGGCTGACCTAGCCCCAGCCTTTGCAGTCATTTAAGAAGTGAACCAGAGAACAGACGCTTTTCCTCTCCGTAATGAATTAATCTATACACATATCACTCGCCTCCCTTCCACAAAACCTTTTGAGAACTTCCCTGCTGCGTGTAGAGTACGATGCAAACTCTAAGGCTCTGCATGATGTGGTCCCCTGTCACTTTCTCACACACAGTACACTTCTCATCGTGTCGACCTCAAACCCTCTGTCACTGTTTTCAGTGTTAGTGCTTGTTATTCCTTGTCTAGAATGCTTTCCTCTTATCCTTCTAGCATTAACACAAATGATTCCCTTTTCAGAGTTTCTCCTCCATCACAATCACTTCCCATCGCATCGTTTCATTTTACTTTCCTAACTGTATCAGCATCTAAAGTCCTTGAATCGTTAAGTTCTTTGGCGCGTTTCTCGTCCTGTCTTGTTCACTGCTGTATCCCAGAGATCTTGAATAGTTTTCTGTGTTTGCTGGATGTCTGGCCATTTGGATCAACGCCTAGTGGCTGTGTTGTACAATTCCTCCTTGTACATACGGTTGGGATGGTGTTAAGGAACAGGGAAGGGTCCACTGTCTGGTGCGAGCACGAGTGTCTGCAAGCCACTGAGCAGGGGACAGCAAAGTGTTGTGGTGGGAAATGAGTGGGGGTAGAGCCACATGTTCAAAACTGAACGGAAGTGCACAAAGATGTGTTCTTCTCCATACGAACATCTTCATCCATGTGGCCGCGCTGCAAGTCACACTGTCTGTTTGCAGAGACACATTGGGGTCCAATGCCCCTCCTGTGGTGCAGGGGGTTGCGCAGCTGCCTGGGACGCTGAGTCAGAGCCCTGGCTTGAGCTCATCCTGCTCTGTGGACGCACCTGGGAAGCGGCAGCTATGTGGGCCCAGCCAGCCATGTGGGCAATCTGGATGGGGTTTCTGGCTCTTGGCTTCACCTTGCCCAGTCTGCCTGCTGCAACCATTTGGTGGTGTTAACCAACGGACACATGACCTCTCTCTCTCTGATGATTTACCTTCCAAACAAACAAATCTTATTGTCATTAAAAAGAAACACAGCCTGGATGTCAAGTGAGAATGCATGCTCTGAAGGACCTGCCTGCAGTTTCACTTGCGCCTGCAGAGGAACAGGACCAGCCAAGTGTCCGGGATGCTGTGCCGAAGGGGCGTAAGAATTGTGAACAAGTCTGGCTTTAGTAACTGACCTCCACAATTAAAGTCTAAAAATATTTGAGAAGACAGAAAAATGTCTTGGGATTACAGTGATATTTGGCCTCATGAATATTGGTGGAAAGAATGTGAAACTATTTCCTAGCAAGTGAATGAAAAGGGAATTGGGTCTGAAGTGGCACTTTCCTCGGTCCTTCCTGTTTTAACTTTTTATTTCTATCTGGACTATATTTGTGAAGAGCCCCTTATAATTAGTTTATTTTTAATTATACCACACAGCCACAATGATCTATATAAGTTGCATTTTAAATAAATTTAATAAGTGTACTAATCAAGAAAAATGAAAGATGAGCGCTCCCTTCTGATGGCCCCATTACTGCAACTTTTCTGGCCACGTTAGACATTGGCCAGCCGTGCTGTTAAAGGACACCGCTGGCGGTCCTGAGCCCCACTCAGCCCCAAAGGCGCCCACGGGGTCTAAGCGGCTCCCTGGCCGCACCGACGGCCAGCGCGGAGAGGAACCACAGAGACAAGCACTCAGGGCAGGACTTGGCGTGTTTTTCCATTAGACTTTCTATTTTCTTCCAAAATACGCTATTTTGTCAGTGTTGTCTTCATAAGGCAAACTTCCAAAGACCTAGAGTCTGTAAACCCCAAGGAACTCACCTTGAACAAAAATTCACCAGGAACATGTCTACAAAAGGCTACAAGCCATGAGGTCACCAACAGCGCTGTGTTTCGATGAGCCAACAGGAAATCTCAACACACAGGACAGTGGTAAGGGTGCCTTTTAGTGAATGCATACACGAACTTGCTGATGTGCGTGTGGGTGGGGGGGGTTCTTCCTATGGATCAGTTTGCAAAAGGGTAAGGAAGCCATTGGCATAAAGTGCTAAGGTCACTACTTTTATTCCATAGGAAGAAAAACTGTATCAAAATCCACACTGGCCGTGTACAAAATTAAAAGTTTGGATACTTAATCCAAAGTCCAACCTGAGTATCATCTTTTAGGCTGACTTCTTCGTTGAGAAACATACTAAAGTGTATATTATTCCGGAAGTAAATCATCTCCTAGCTCTTCGTCTGCAAAATCATCCTCATCCACTCTCTTTTTGGCTGCAGTCTTTGGTCTCTCTACTTGCGGGCCGAGCGGATCCACGTAGGAAGCATCTAGGTTTCAAAACAGACAGTTAGAGGAAGGCGGAAGAGTAAAGCACATGCGAAGCCAATCAGTCTCACAGCGGACAGAAACGCTGTCCCCAGGTCGTTTACGATCTGCCTTTCGGCATCACGTTGTTCGGTCATTCGCCATCTCGCCAGGAGCCTGCCGCCCTGCTATGCCTATGGGAACTGGGCGGGGGAGAACCAGCACTTGCCTATTTCTTTGTTACTGCTACTTTCATAAGGCTCATTTGTCCCAGGTAAAGCTCTGAGTCTGGCACTGAGTCGTTCATTCTTACTACTGGCACTACAGTTCTGGCCACTATCTGGAAACACAAAAATAAAAATGCATTTGTTTAACACGTTGAGCAAACAGTGACACTACATGACGCATCGCACAGCACACTCATTTGCCAAGAAATAGGCAGGCTGCTTCCCTCTGGAAGCCAGTTCCTTATGGACATAATCTGTTTCTTTAGATTTCAAAGAAATCCCTTGCGGAAAGTATAAAGCATTATTTACAAGTAATCTTAAAATGAAGTCTTTCAGATAACATGCTTAGTTCCAGCTCCCAGTTTTATAGTAGAATCTGTGAGACCTCCCCAACTGGGATAACCTAGCATTTAAAGAAAGAACAATCCAGAAGTCACAAGAGCGGAGCAAGGAAGCATCACCAACCTCTTACCGAGGATGGTGAGCGCCCCCAAAAGCACATCAGAGGAGAAACAGCAGACTAGGCCGGGCACACGACCTGCACCATATGCTTACTTCCCCCGAGCATTTGGAGAATGTTCACAGAGCAGGGGTTAGATCTCCCCTGCAGAAAGCTAGACTGTGGTTCAATACAGACACGGGAATTCCTGAGAGAAATCACGGCTCCCAAGCATGTCAGGGTTGCCTTCGGACAGAGCCTGCGTCACTGAGGACCTTCAGTAGCATTGTAGATGAAAGAAGAGACTTCACAAACGCTATGGAGCTTTCTAGCGCCGGCCTCGGGCCCCGCAGCCGCCGCGATGCTGATGCCCAAGAACCTGATCAGCATCTACGAACTCCTACTTACGGAAGGAGTGGTCAACAAGGACGTCCACACGCCCAAGCAAACGGGGCTGGCGGACAAGAACACGCGCAACCTGCATGTCATGAAGGCCTCAAGTCCCGAGGCTACGGCAGGGAGCAGTTGGCCTGGAGACACTGCTACTGGTGCCTCACCAACGAGGGCATCCAGTGCCTCTGCGATTACCTGCACCTGCCGCCCCAGATCCTGCCCGCCGCCCTGCGCTGCAGCCAGCAGACACCCGTGGGCCTCCGCCATAAGGCCTGGAGGGGAGCGACCTGCAGGGCTCACACAGGAGAAGCCGGCAGACACAGAGTGCTGTGTGCCCTGGTGCTGGCGAGAAAGCCGAGGCTGCGGCTGGCTCAGCAACCGAATTCCAGTTTAGAGGTGGATTTGGTTGTGGACATGGGAAGTTTACCTAAGTACAGCTGGAGGAGGAGATTATTTTGTGTTAAATAAGTGTATAGCCACAAACAAACAAACAAATGCTATGGAAGGACAAACACAATGAAAAGAAAACATGCCTGGTGTAAAAACATTTCTGAAATTGATGCATCATAACACACATTTTCCTTGAGCTTTGTGAAGACTGGTGCTTTCTTAGAAACACTTTTGTTTTTATTCACTTGAAGGACAGAGTTCAGATAGACGAGGAAAGACAGAGAAAATCGCCTTCCATCTGCTGATCTGCTCCCCACAGATGGCTGCGGCAGCTGGGGCCAGCCGGGCGTGAGCCAGGAGCCAGGAGCTTCTTCTGGGTCTCTCACAAGGGGGCAAGGCTCCAGCACCTCTGTGACCTGCTGCTACCTTCCAGGCTCATCAGCAGGGAGCTGTATCAGAAGCAGAGCAGATGGGACTTCAACTGATGCCCATATATTATGATGGAGGCAGAACCTCTGTCACGATGCTGGCCAAAGCCCTCGCCCTCCTGTGTGTGTGTGTGTGTGTGTGTGTGTGTGTGTGTGTTTCTGCAGGAACCACTCTCATAGCCAGAGCTGTTACTTACTCCTTTGAAAATTCACATAATAAATAGCACTTTAGAAGTTACGTAACTTTAATTCTCAATGACAGTTCACCTGAGGTACACTGATCTGAGTATACACACTTGTCTTGTATTTTTCTGATAATTTATCTTAGAATAAATTAAAAAAAAAACCCAACAAGATGGTGTTTAAAAATCCCCGTATTTTGGGGCCACTGTTGTGGCCCAGTAGGATTAAGCCTCCACCTGTGATGCCAGTATCCCATATGGGCACCAGTTATTCCTGGCTGCTCCAGCTCCCTGCTAAGAGTCTGGGAAAAGCAACAGTGACCCAAGTATCTGGAGTTCCAAATCAAACTCCTGATTTTGGCCAGCTTGCCTGCTGCAACCTCTGCAGGAGTGGACCAGTGGATGGAAGATCTTTTTTCTACCTCCAACTCTCTTTTAAACAAACTCTTTAAAAAACCAAATCCTCATCTTTCAAAATTCATCAGCTTATTTAAAAAACCATGGAGCTGTTGGAAATGAAACCCCTCAATTTAAAGTAGTGAATGTGGTGACACATTTCGGTACGTTTTTAATTATTTTTCTTTCCTCTGATTTTCTGTTGGAATATAGCCAAACTTTCCCGATCTAGAACTCTCTAAGGATTTTGTTTGAAACTGCTTAAGAGAGCTGAGATCAAGCAAGCTTGAAAACCATGGCTCTACGCAGCACTTCATCCCTTTTACCTCATTCTCCACAGATTTGTTGATGCAAATACCAACCCCGATGTCTCCCTCAGGCAACCCCAAACCTTCCACCAGGCTAGCACAGCAGTCCCACCCAGCCTGATGGATTCAAATCCGGAGGGAAGAACTCATCTTTAACAAATGAAAACTGAATTCTTTTGAAGAAGTTTCAACTGTGCAACTGAAAAACTGATAGAGCTTTTGTTTTTAGGAACTGGTATTGTCATTTTAATTTTGCAGATGCGGAAAGCAACGACCAGAAGAATTCATCTCTAATTCATACGGGTAAGGGTCACAGAGGATACAGTTTTGAAAACGGTTTCATCATAAAGGCCAGTGGGAGCACGGTGTAAACAGCCATTGTACCATTTTCAATTGCCTTTCACGGAGTAACGATGCCACACACGAACAGGTGCACGGGCTCAGCAAGCATCCAAAAGCCTGGGTGGATTTTACGCTTACATAATAGGCTGATAGCATTTTGGCAATTACACTCATTTCAATGTGGTAACAAACAATTACTCTATCCTGCAGGGAAGTTACATAATGAATAGGCTAAGAAAGTAACAGTGACAGTAATTTATCTGAATTTTATTTGGAAAGAAAAGCACTTAGGACCACAGAATTTATAGTTATCCATATCCCCTTCCCTCATGCTCGCCCACTCGGGTTCTTCTAGCACATTCTGAACGCTCTCACTCCTGACCCCACTCTTCCCCTACCTATCCGACTTCTAAAGTTTCAACCCAGGAAAACCCACCTCTCTTACTCAGGCTCCTCCATGTGCTGACAAAACAAAAGACAGCACAACAAACAAACAAACAAACAAACAAACAAACAGGCATTGATCTAGGTAATTCTATCACTGAAAAGGCAAAGAAATAAGAGGTTTCCCAAGTCCAGGCCTTCTTTTTCCTCCATTCTTGCCCTCTGTCAACCTTGCTCGCTCTCTCGGGTTCTTCTAGCACATTCTGAATCCTTAAACTCCGTCCCTCACTCTTCCTCTAACCAATCTGACTTCCGAGGTGTTAACCCAGCAAAATCCACCTCTCTTACTCAGCCTCCTCTAAACAAAACACTACTTCCTGTCTGAAGTGTACCATGGGTGAAACTTCCTGAAGTAGGCATCCAATAAGCCACTGCTGTCCAATGAACGAGTCTTTAAGAATGACCTCTGCACTGAAGACCACAAAATACCGCCTGAAGAAATTAAAGATAGCAGATGATGCTGGAATTTGATTACTTTAATGTTGTTACCACGAGGCATGGACATGACAGAGGTCCTGATGAGTGTCAGTCATCATCCCAGCAGGGTCTACCACTGCAGCCCCTACCCACAGCAGTGGGCTGCCAGGGCGCCCAGAGCAGAGCCTCTCTCCGCCCCCGGGTTAGGGCTGGTGTCGGAGCTGCACACCCCACACTCTGCCCCCTCCCGCTGGCCTCCCTCTGACCCGCTCACTGTCAGAGTCACGGCGCTCTGACTCTGGTTGCAATGATGTTCTGTGCTGCTTATTTAAGGTTTCCAATATTGGGCCCGGCGGTGTGGCCTAGAGGCTAAAGTCTTCGCCTTGCACGCCCGGGATCCCATATGGGCGCCGGTTCTAATCCCAGCAGCTCCACTTCCCATCCGGCTCCCTGCTTGTGGCCCGGGAAAGCAGTGGAGGACGGCCCAAAGCCTTGGGACCCTGCACCCCTGTGGGAGACCTGGAGGAGGTTCCTGGATCCTGGCTTCGGATTGGCATAGCATCGGCCGTTGCACTCACTTGGGGAGTGAATCATCGGACGGAAGATCTTCCTCTCTGTCTCTCCTCCTCTCCGTATATCTGACTTTCCAATAAATAAATAAATCTTAAAAAAAAAGGTTTCCAATATTGTTTTTGGTGACAAATACTTGCCTTTCTTTTTTAAAGATTTATTTTTATCAGAAAATCAGATTTACAGAGGAGGAGAGACAAGAGAAAGATCTTCTGTCTGCTGGCTTACTCCCCAAGTGGCTGCAGCACCCAGAGCTGAGCCGATTTGAAACAGGGGGCCAGGAGCTTCTTCCGAGTCTCCTACGTGGGTGCAGAGTCCCAAGGTTTTGGGCCATTCTCTACTGCTTTCCCAGGCCACAATGTAAGCTGGATGGGAAGCGGAGCATCTGGACACTAACTGGTGCCCAAATGAGATCCTGGCACATGCAAGGAGAGGATTTAGCTACTAGGCTATTGCGATGGGCCCGATCCTTAGTTTTTCAAGGTCCAATTGATATGTAGCCAACATTTCTTCAACTTTCCGCTCTACTTCAAGCTGGGAAGTCCGTCCACTGTCCCTTCTTCGTTCCTCATTTTTTGAAGGTACTAACTTTCTTTTCTTTTTTTTTAAGATTTATTTTATTTTTATTGGAAAGGCGGATATACAGAGAGGAGAGACAGAGAGGAAAATCTTCCGTCCGATGATTCACTCCCCAAGTGAGCGCAACGGCCGATGCTATGCTGATCTGAACCAGGAGCCTCTTCCGGGTCTCCCACGTGGGTGCAGGGTCCCAAAGCTTTGGGCCGTCCTCGACTGCTTTCCCAG